CCAGTGGAATGTAAAGCAGGTTCCCACCAGAATTATTCAAATCAACTTTTTGCAATAGGATATATAAAGAACAAGCATTTACTCTGCAAATAAATTTCAGGAAGTGATTACCTTGGTTCAGACTATAATTTGAAGGAACAATCTAAAGCAGGGTTACTTAACCTCAGCATAACTGACATTTTTTGGCTGGGTAAATCTCCATTGTTGGGGCTGTCCTGTGCATTGCAGGATATTTAGCAGCATCCCTGGCCTCTACCCACTACATGCCAGGAGCACACCACTACCCAGCCCCTCAGCTGAACAATCAAAATGCCTCCAGACACTGCCAAAGGCCCCTGGGGAGCCCTGGAATCAAGAACCACTGATCTAGAGTAATACCAGTTACAGATTATAACCATACCTATGTCATTATGGAAGTCCCTCTAAGGATTCATGGTAGCTAGCCTCCAAGATGGCCTCAATGATCCCCACCTCTGGTGTTCACACCTTTGTAGTCCCCTCCCACACAGTGTCAGGGTTGGTTTGCCTGGCCGATAGAATGCAACAGAAGGATGATATGTGACTTCCAGGGCAGGGTCAAAAAGACCCTGTTTAGCTTCTGTCTTGCTCTCCTGGGTCACCCACTCTGGGATAAGCCAGCTGCCATGTCATGAGGACACTCAAGCAGCTGCACAGAGAGGCCTAGGAGATGAGGAATCGAGGCCTCTTGCCAAAAGCTACCTATGTGATCTTGGAAGATCCTCCAGTCTCCATCAGGCCTTCAGATGACTGCAGCTCTATCAACAACCTTAGAGAGACCCTGAGCCAGAACCACCCAACTAAAATGCTTCTGAATTTCTGACACACAGAAACTGAGATGATAAATGTGTTAATAAGCCACTAGGTTTTAGGGTAATTTGTTATGTAGCAATAGATAACTAATACAGAATTATACTTTTATCTGTCCCAAACAAAAGTAATGAGTGGAAACACACCCTGGCAGGTAGATAAATCCTTCCCATGTAGTTAAAAGAATCACTACATTCTTTATCAAAGGACACAAATGATGGCTTAGTGGTGATTTATCTTTTCGAGGCAAAAATGATACAACTGTGCACAAAACTGTTTCACCTGAATTGAGAGTGTGGTGGTGGGGAAATAAGAATAGATTTCTTCATTTAAGGTAACTTGATTTACGTGGTAAAATAAAGGGTTTTCCATGAAGAAGTCCTTGAAAATCTTCATGGAGATTCACATACCAAAGCTGGTAGCTAACTGTTTCTTCTGTCCCATGATATAGCCACTAAACATAGGGTTTTTCAGTAGGAAGAAGTGAGGATTTAATTGTGGCTCAGGCTCAGTGGGGATATTCCAGGGGAATGATAGAAACTCTAAAAGAAGCTCAGTTTCCTGAAATCTTTTATAAATCCAGAAGTCACAGGCATGCTTCCTACTGAAAAAGGCATATTTTTTACCCAACTTTGTACATAAAAAGCTAAAATAATTACTAAATGAACTTGGGATGATTGAATCTTCAAATTTTTTCTTACTATAAATAAATAATATTCCAAGCAAATAGATCCCTATTTCTTATATAACTTGGAAAGCCACTTAAACTACTTCTGAGGCTGTTATGGGCTGAACTGTGTCCCCCCCCAAATTCATATGTTGAAGTTGTAACCCCCAGTACCTCAGGATGTGACTATATTTGGGGACAGGGTCTTTAAAGAAATAATTGTTAGTTAAAATTATGTCATTAGAGTGAGCCCTACTTCAATATAACTGATGTCCTTAGAAGAAAAAGAGATTAGGACACAGACACACAGAGGGACAACCATGTGAAGATGCAGGGAGAAGACAATCATCCACAAGCCAAGGAGAGGGGCCTCAGAAGAAACCAACCCTGCCAACACCTTGATCCCAGACTGCGAGCCTCTGGAATTGCTGGAAAATAAATTTCTGTTGTTTAAGCCACCTGGCCTATGGTACTTTGTTCTGGCAGCCCTAGCAAACTAATAAACTGGCTTTTCTGGCTACCTTTGTGTTTACTGTGTCCCCTGTGATCCTCAATCTAGTCTCTTCATTAATCACAGAAACCATGCCATCAGAAAATTAACACGCAGACCCTGACGTTATATTCCCAGTTTAAAAAGCATGCCACAATGATACTAGAGTCCCCAAAATTATCCATCAAGGAATCATTAGAATTGAAACCTTTTTTATCCTAGCCTTCTTGACTTTCACCAATACTTCATAGTAGAATTAATTTCAACAACTTAAGTAGAAATAACTGAATGCTGAAGTTCCTCGCTAATCTGACTATGGAAAGGGTTATTGAAATTTGATGACTATAATCCAGGGCAAAAGATTTACTGAAGGAATGCCCATTTTGTCGAACACAGGTTTAGAGAGAATTTGCCAGTACGGTGTCGATTGTGAGCAGCCATTGTCGGGAGGGGCAGTGTCCTGGAAAAAATATTGGTCTGGCTATTACTGAGGTTAATACACTCAGGCAACTGTTATAGCTAGTCAAACTGTGGGGGAAAGTAAAGCTTTCAGGAATTAAAACAGATGAACAGCTAAGAATAATTTTTAAAGAGAAGTGACAGTAGTGACAAATTATTCTGAAGTCCATGTCCCATAGAGATGGCAGGACATGAAAAAGACCATGTACTACATCTAATACCAACCTCACTTGAGTATTTTCTATGCCTAGTGCTATGCTAAGTACTCAACATGCACATCATTTAATCTCCACACCAATCCCACATGTAATTGTAGTGGATTAAATTATGTCTCCTCAAAACTCCCGGTAACTTGAATTGTGTCCCTCAAGTTTTATGTATTAGAAACTTAGCCCCCACTGTGATTGTTAAGAGGGTGGGAAATCCTCTTATGGTCATTGAAAGGTGGAGCCTCGAATAGGTGATTAGATTGTAGGATCGTGCAGTAGTGAATGGATTAATAATGGTGGTCAGGGGAGAGATTCGGAGGGCTTTAAAAGAGGAGAGCCTCTCTTTCTCTCTCTCTGCTCTCTCTGCTTCCACCATCTTGCAATGTGAGACGCCTAGGTCGCTGTCACCACCACCAGATGGACTTTGGACTTCCCAGCCTCAGAAACTGAAAGCAAATAAATTTTGTTTTCTTTATAAATCGGCCAGTTCTGTGTAGTTTGTTATAAGCAACACAGACTAATACAATAATTACGTATACATACAATAATATATATATACATTTCTATATCATAAAATGTAACTGAAATTACTTTCACATTATCTTTTTATTTCTTTTTTACAAGAAAATTTAAAATCACACCTGGGGGTTCTGGTCAAGATGGCAGAATAGATGGTCTCCAGCATCACTCTCTCCCACAAATCAACCAATTTACAACTATAAAAATGTAACATCAGCCAAGCTGGGGCCGCTGGAGCTCAGGGGAAGAGGAGGAGAGACCTACAGAGTTCATGAAGGCGGGAGAAGCCACAATGAGAGAAAGAAAAAACTGTGCCAACCATTTCTGGCTGCAGCTGCTTTAAGGCTGGAGCTGCTGAGTGCATGGAGTAGGAACCAGCAGAAGCCGCAGCTGTGCCCTTCAGATGGAGTTGCTTGGAGGCGGCAGGGGAGGAGAGGGTCTCGGTGGCCCCCAGGACAGCAAGACCACTAGTAAGGTTTCCGTGGACCCACGCAGGAGCAAGGAGCCAGAACAACTGAAAAAGGGAGCCACTCAGAGTCCGGTGAGTCACCACAAGGGACCAGTGCATGGCCATCCCATGGGAAGTGTTTGGAGCACGGGCAGTGGGGGAGACAGGCCCACTGGGAGAACACTGGGGCACAGCAAGGACAGCCAATCCTTTCTCCCAGTCAGCACAGGGCCACTGAGAGGAGACTGGTTGGGAATGCAGAATTGCATGGGGTGCAGTTTGATGAAAAAACTCAGGCCCAGATCAGAGTTTCTACAAGACCCAGGTGCACCAGGTCTCTGGAGAGCCAGAAGTACCTATAAGGTTAACCATTAAACCCTTAGCTGCACAAAATAGCCTTCCCTCAGGAAACAGCAGCAAAGCAGCTCAACCATACAGCTCAAGTACTGGTTCCCACAGGAAGTTCCCCAGTTTTAGAAGTAAGCAAAGGACAAAAAATTAGTTCCAGCCGACACACATCATCAGTGTGCCTCAGGGCCCACCAGGGGAACTGAGGCATGGAGCTGTGGACTGGACACCCCACCCTCTGACCGCCCACAACCAGGCACACTGCCAGCCACTTGGGGCCTGCCCGGAGTCCTGAGGCATACAGCCAGGATCTGGATCCACCAACCCCAACGACAACAAAGCACACCACCAGTGCCAAAGAGCATGCCAAAAATATCACCTCCACGTGGTGGACCACCACAGCCACCACAGTAACCACAGCTGCTGTGAAAGTGGCTAGACGCCACAATCACCACACAGATGGTCCATCAGCCACTGGAGTGCATTGACACAAGGAGAGTCACCAGCAGAAACCAAAGAAAAGAAGAGGATGTCTCTCTCCACAAAGCTCATTCCAGAGTGACAGATGAAGAATCTGCTCTATGATAATATTGGGGGACCTGAACACACCTCTCAGCACTGGACAGATCATCTAGCCAACAAATCAACAGAGTAACCATTACTTTTTCAGAAGGAGAGAAGAAATCTAGGGTAACCAGTGGTGGGAGGGGGGAGGGAATGGAGGATAGGGAGAGACTGGACAAGAGGCATAAAGAATGAGTACAATTTGTAACAATACACATACTAGTAATATTGATTTGATCAACATATGCCAGCATTGAATCCCCAAAATACGTATAGCCAATCATGATTCAATAAAAATAAATAAATAAAATAAAATCACACCTGACTTGTATTATATTTCTATAGGACAAGTCTGTTCTATACTACATCATTAGCCTCTCATTAAAATCTAGGAAGAAAAGTAATTCACTTGTTTAATCATTTAACTAGAAATGTAGAATTAAAAATCTCTGGTGCTTTTAAACTTACAAAACGAGATGAGTTATCATTTTTCACAGTCTTTGCATTTCCAAATGATTCCAGAATTGGATTTGCTTGTAAAAGCTGCCGTTCAAGTTCTCCCTGAAAGACATCACACATAACACACACACATAAATAAAAGGAGATGTTAATCCAATGTCTTTACTCCACTCCTCAGGGGGAAAAAAAAACTGCCTCTTATCCTCAGTTCTTTCATCCTGTCTACCACCCAGCAATCGTTGTTGGCTTCTTATTCCTGCTTGTGAAAATGGGCCCTGCTAAAGGAAAAAATTAGCATCTATAAAGTGATCACAAGGAGAAGAAAATGTCACACATTCTAAACAGAGAAGATAAACTTAAGCACAGGACACATAAATTAGGCAGAGAATTTCAAAAATAAGACAAACCAACTGGTTTTTCATGAAATGAAATTTGCCATGACACTTCAATTAAGAACATGTTAATATTTATACTTTTGTTCATTTTTATTCTGCCTTGTTTGAAAGATTTAAGGCTGCTAATTTCATCATTATCACTGTACTGGCATAAGACTTTCCATTTTCTCAAGGAATTTTGCATAATATCTCAGAGGTATAGAGAGGGAAATGTCCAAACCTCAACCTACAGGGCATGGTAAAGATGGTGATGCTACTGACTTGCTCAAGTTTAAAAGGCTTAGTATAGAGTATTCAGTATAATGTTTGCTTAAGTCAGTGTCTTTATATATGAATTGGGCTATAAAATATTTTACAAACAAAAGATGTAAGTAATATTAATATGTGCTTTAAATCACGAAACAATAGGAAGCTGTATGACAAAGCATAATGCCATTTCTGGCCATGAAAAGCACTAGAAAGTGATGTTGTGTTTCTGGAATGTAATCTCAAAATTATATTTTATACTTAAATAAATCTGCTTTTTCCAAACACAAATCTTACCCCTATATTTAAAAATACCCACAGAATTCTGGACCTAAAGAAAATAAACAAAAACTGCTAGCAAATGTGATTCTCTAAGCAAAAAAGACAAATATAAAGAACCTTACATAAGACTTTTAAATTAGTGGGCATTTGTTATGTGATGCATTGTACCACCATCAAATCCAAAAACAGGAACAAATACCAGGGTACTTCAAAAAGCTGGTGGAAAAATAGAATTGAAAGATAATATGAATCTTTCCATGAACTTTCTGAAGTGCCCTCGCATACACCATACGGTTAATATACAGTTTCGGCATCCGGCCCTGGTTTGGACTTCATCAGTCAGCTGAAAGGGTGGGGAAGTGTTTCTGAGGCACATTACATAAGAAGGGGATATACTCTGGATACGTCCACTCTATAGCATTTATGAGGATTGTCCAGATTGTCACAGGCCTTAATTACAATCTACAATTATGTTCAACTGAAACCAGTCAGGAACCAATCCTGTCAAGAATCCCAAGCTATGTGAATTTCATTACACAGTATCACTTCACTTTCTTGGCATTAGATAATTTTCTCCTTGTATAGCAAATTTTCTAGTTTACTGACTTCAAAACACTTTTTAGACTATTTTTGAAGAAAATCTTTCTAAAATGTTACATGCTTCCAAACTTTCTTAAACATGGTATCCTGAACCAATTCTGATGCCTGAGAGCCATCAAGAAAGTTAGTTGTTATTCTGTGATCGAACAGACTGCCTTTCCCTTCAAGGTCAGCAGTCACTTCCCTCAGTATATCTCCGACTAGCATCTTGCATAACCCTTGGTGTTTGGGTTTTGCACCAATTGTTTGGGCTTCTACAGCCCCCCCCCCCCTTTTTTTAAGCCTAATTCAATCTGTGTGATCAGAATGTAGAAACCATCAGAAAACAATGATGTTCTGATAAGTGAAGCATTGCCTTTATATTCAACAGCTACTGTTAGACAAAGATATTAGAATATGGATTCCTCAGTGTTACACACCATTCTGCCAAACCATAATAAAAAGACTTTCATAATCTATTCTTAAAGTGTTTTCCTAACTTGGAGGTAAAGCCTTACTTAGGCATACCCCATTTTAATATTCCCTAGAAATGGCTACAGGGATTCTTTAGGTCAAGTTTTTATTGACTCTTTTCTGTGTGTGTGTGTGTGTGTGTGTGTGTGTGTGTGTGTGTGTTTTCTCGTGTGTGTGTGTGTGTGTGTGTGTGTGTGTGTGTGTGTGTGTGTGTGTGTGTACTGAGTTTTTATCGTCTCTTTTCTTTTCCCGTGTGTGTGTGTACACAATCTACTGAGTCTTTTCTTTCTAATCTGGCTGTATCCCCTGCACCTAGCTCAATCATTATCAGGTCAAAATGAAGCCCCATAAGTGTTTGCTGAATGAATGTATAACTGGAGGTACTAAAACACCCTAGCAGTATTTGGGAAGGAGATGGTGGTAAACCAAAGGCAGCAATAAAATTTGGGTTAAGGGTCCTCGTAGTCACAACCGTATAAGTAGACTCAGGCACTTTTGTGTCCCCGCTGTTGGTTCTACTACACTAGAAGTCATGGTATTACTTTTCTCCTAATGGATTTCTGACATCATCGAGACCAAGTAAAGATCTCAAAAACTCATAAATGAATCCCCAAAAGCTTGACACAAAGCTACTATCATAAAACATATAAAAATGGTCTTAAATTAAGAAATAGCCATGAGATGTACTCATGTCTGTGTTGAACAATTTCATAAGATAAATGGTACTAATATCTCTCAAATTATGAAGGCATTTATAAACCATCAGGGGGCAGTGACTATTTACCTTTCCACTAGAATTGGATGGACATTTGGTCTTCTATTTCTATTTTATATGACAATGAGAAGTGTTATTTGGGAATGTGGGAAAAAGGCAGCATTAGCTACTGAAATTATTTTTAAAGTTCTAAGTACTTAGAGATATATATAATACTTTAAAGATTTAATAATCATGGTGAAAACTATACCCTTGTGTTTACTGTATAGTGTATAACATACACTTGTTACATAATATAGGATGAATTTGAAATGCTTAAAAGATATATAGCTGTCAAAACTCCAGTTCAGCCAGCTAGGGGACTCGGGCTGGGATTATCTGCACCTTGCAAGCCTCACAGGGCAGAGCTGCAGGTGTTTTACTGACCACAAGGGGTGCGTTAAAAAAGCAGGCGGCCGCAACCAATCACACAGTGAAAACCAGACTCTAATCTTATTGGGAGGCTCTAACTTCTGCATTTACTACTCACCATGGACCACCTTTTTGTCTGGTTCAAGGCAGTTTAGACGAGGCTGATGAAGGATACAAAGTCATCCTGAAGATGACTTGAAAGGCAGGGAGGAAGGTGGGCTGGCTTCAAGGAATCATTCTTAGGGGATTGGTCAAGTTTTAGAAATTAGTCATTTTCAAATATTCTGTGAAACTGAACTGTGTTGAGGCTTAGGAGTGGTAACCAACGCTGTGCCAGATTTTAAGGGTCTCTAACAGCAACCTATCATAAGGAAAGATATCACTGAAATGGTACTTGCAGTTGGCTGGTGGATAGTAAGGGGGTAAAGCCAAATACGACTTTTGTTATAAAAGCACATCAAAAGTTCGTAGGTAAATGTTTACTTAAAATTTGTTTTTTTTTAAAGTTTACTTTCTAAGTATTGTGACTTCAGTTGTGAAAACTGACTTCTCTCATCTTTGCTCATATTTTCAAAATGAAGGTTAAGTTTTAGACAGAATGAAGTCTGGCTTGAGGAAGTAACCGCTTGAGCTAAAGCCAACCCAGAAGGTTAAGTTTTAAAGGTAAGCATAAAAGACTAACCACACCACACCACCAGGACAGCTATAACAAAAAGAGAGACAATACCAAGTGCTGGCGCAGATACAGAGAACTCATATATTGCTGATGGGAATGTAAGATGGTGCAGCCTCTGTAAAAAAAAAAAACAGTTTGGCACCTCCTCAAAATGTTAAATAGAGTTACCATGTGACTCAGCAATTCCACTTGTAGGTATACACCCAAGAGAAATGAAAACACATAGCCACACAAAAATTTATACATGAATGTTCACAGCAGCATTAATTATAATGGTAAAAAAGTGGCAATGGGCTGGCCAGTTAGCTGAGTTGGTTAGAGCACAGTATTGTAAGACCAAGGTCAAGGGTTCAGATCCCCATATTGGCCAGCTGCCAAAAAAAGAAGAAAAAGAAACAACACAAATGTCCATCGATGGATGAATGGATAAATAAAATGTGACTTATTTAATATAATGGAATATTATTTGGCCATAACAAGGAATGGAGTACTTATACATGCTACAATGTGGATGAGCCTTTAAAACATTATGCCAAGTGAAAGAACAATCAATATGATTTCCTTCATATGAAATGTCCAGAATAGGCAAATTCATAGAGATGGAAAGGAGATTAGTGGTTGCCAAGGACTGGGGAAAATGGGAGGTGGCTGCTCATGGCTACAGGGTTTCTTTTGGGGTGATGAAAATATTCTAAGATTGATTGTGATGATAATTGCCTAACTGTGAATATACTAAAAGACATTGACTTGTATACTCTAAATGGGTATATTGTACGGTATGTGAATTATATCGCAATAAAGCTGTTTCAAAAAAAGAATGAGCAAATAAATAATAAATTTAAAAAATGATAAAATCAGGAGCCTAGAAATGCCTTCCCCTTATTTTTACAATTCATACTACTGTTTATAGTGATAAAATGCTAGAAATATATATAAATGGTTCCTGGGAACCTGAGTAAGTTTTGACTATAAAGTTTAATGTAAATTCACAAACCAGTGGTATCAAAACAGCCAAAAGAAACAGTGACCTTGCAAAGTACAGACTTCCCACATTGCAACTATAACTTTAAAGCAGTCATTCTCAAAAATGAGCTGAAGTCATGGATAGGGGCAACCCTACAGGGGAGAAGAAATTTCTTGATAGGTCCCTTTCCAGGGTATAACCATCCCTACCACACTGTTGAGATCTTCTGTTCCTCAGGTGTGCTGGGGAAAAACAATTAACTGAGAACTAGCATTCTTCTAATGGTTCTAAAAACATCACCATAACTAATACTTGACTTGACTACATTAAAGTTAAGTTGGGAAAAGCAGCACTGAGGATTCTATGCACAGTGAATACATGCAGCAAGACATGCAAATTGGCAATGACAGGGAAACAAGGCCCAAAGAAGCTGCTGTCTTCTTTAGGAAAACTTGTTGGGAAAAGCAGCACTGAGGATTCTATGCACAGTGAATACATGCAGCAAGACACGCAAATTGGCAATGACAGGGAAACAAGGCCCAAAGAAGCTGCTGTCTTCTTTAGGAAAACTTGCTTCCCAGGGATTGGTCTGACCCAAAATAACGTCCAGGGGTAGGCATGCTACTCACATACAACAGGGACCCCCTCTGTAGTTTAACATGACATCGAAACAAAAAGTTAACGATAATGATTTATGCATTCCACAGAGGATTTAGAAAACCTAATTCTGTATGCTGTTTAATGCTATTTTTCTAGTGATCCAAGGACATATTAAAAGGACATTTAGCATGTACCTCTAAAGCACAAAGAAAAGCTGGTTTCTGGTCCAGATTTTCTTCCTTTAACTGGCAAAGTCTTTAAATATCCTATAGGATAATGATTATTTCATTAACCTTCCCAATTTGTATCACCGGCCTGGTCTGCAGCTCAAGGAGCAAAAGAACAACACAGGCCTTCACAGGTATAGCAAAGCTTTGGTGTCTAGTGATTTCTTACGAATTTTAAGAAAGATATTTGACAATTTCAGTATCTGTGACAATTCCTTTAGATACTTGTAATTGTTTCTTTATATTAATAGATCATTTCTATAATTGGATAATACTATTTCCTGCTTTAAATTAGCTTTATACCACTATGCTTGTAGAAGACAGATAAACCAAAACCCGGCCAATGCTAGGGAAAGGATTAAGTCCAAGTACAGACATCCCACTCTGTCCAAGGAATCTGATTCAGTTCTGCCCTCCCTCTCCTCCCAGCCAGCAGGAAGTGGAGGTCATGCTCTGATGCACGGTTTGTTCTCTGCTGTGCTCTGTGGAGCTAAAAGGCAGGCAGCTGATAATGAGGAAGCATAATACTCCTCCACTACCTGCCCAGCATAAAGAAAATCCTTATGTTTTATATATTAAATACAATGAGGCCTTAAGGTTTAAAAACTTATAGGCATAAACTATACAATGCCATAAAAACTTTAATAATTTGTTAACCCAAAGGCACAACTTTTAAAGTTGCAGCCCCGAATCCAAAATTTAATGTATAGCACACAAAGCTAAGTTTCCACGTGTTTAAGAAGTATTAAAATAATTCTGCCTAGTAGTCGGCATATGTAACCATAAGTGTATAGGCTTCATAAACATGCAATTCAATGTCATGATAAAAGGGCAAATAAATATTAAAATTTATATAGAAAGCAAATTTAAAGCAAAACAGCATGCTGCTTCTCATGAAATAGCAAGGGTCTACGCAATACAATTTCAAAATTAAATGTTTTTTAATAATAGATTTCACTCAGAACTAATGGTATTTGTTTCCAGTAGAGACTCAATCTAGAGACAGAAATTAGTGCAAACACTCAAGACTAAGAAGCATAAAGAAAAGCACTTGCCTGGTGTTTCACTGGTTTAGGCGATTCCTGCTGTTCATTACAAACAGATAAATGCAAATGTTAGCAAGTTTGGGTCTTTCCCTAGCAGTAAGCCATATCCCGAGGGCCAAGCCAATGTGCAGTTTAGAACCATGCAAGGTGGTTTGGTTGGCATTCTCTCAGGCTGTGTTAACTACCACTTCTGCAGCTATAAAAATTACGGCTAACTGGCATTTATATTCTTACTCCTTTTCTATCATCAATTCTTCCCATATTTCTCTACCCTCCCATCAAGCTGCTGTGGGCAACAGCAACAAGCTATGCTGCAAGTTCAGGGAGAACTACTAAAAATATGAGAGGATCTTCTTTTGGTGGAAAATAAAAAGTCTTCACAAGCACTGTTCACGAATTTTTAACAATTCTCACCAAATCTTTGCAAGAAATTAGGCTTCAAGCCACAAACATAATTCTGATTTTCTCTGTTGGAATACCTATTTAATATCAATTTCCCTGTATCCTTGCTCCTCTTGAATGAAAAAGAGTGGCGGAGAGGGGTGGAGACAAGGAAGCTGCCAATTAGAGCAGTGCACTGAGCAGATTTGCTCCCTTATTTTTGACTCTGAAATCATAAAAGAATAAAACTTAGATTTAAAAAACAACAACAAAGCAAAAACTTACAGGAATATTATGGTCCTTTCTTCCTTTATGTGAAGAAGCAACATGGGCAAGGTACTGAATGACTTTCTTAGTATTTTCCGTCTTCCCAGCACCTGATTCACCCCTGAAAGAAAGCACAGCACACATATTCCAAAATTACAATTGACGGAACTAAATTGAATTGGAACAAGAAGTAGTAAAAAATAAAAAGAAAATAAGTAGGAAAAAAAACTATCAGCTATAGTTAGAAATAAGTTATTTTTAGAAAAATAGTATTAAATAAACCCAAATATTCCTTGGTAAATGACAGTCAGAAGACAGGAAAATGTTCACAACACTTTTTTCCCTGTAGGCATGGGGTGGTTTCTCCAGAGACATAAAATTTATTAGAATGTTCATGAAGAAATTCCTCAGCACCAGAAACACACCCAGCACTGCAAACAAAGAATTCCCCCAAAATTAAGATGGCTTAATCTGAAAGAGCTGAAATAACTCTGGGATGCACACTGGTTACTGAGATTCATCTTCAAAGCCACTGAAAGCCTTCTCAGACCATCCTTCAAACCAGCTAAGGATCATTCTCTTCTTTGCACCAAGGTTGTTCCTTGCATGCACCTGACTAAAGACCATTCCACTGATTGCTGGCCTTGCATTCTGGGCTGTCTTAAGGCAAGGGCTACGGCCTCATGTGTTTACCTGTGTTTGCTTCTTTTTGATCCACATAACCTTCCATAGTGTTGACACATAGGCAGGACATAATGTGTTGTCAAAATGAATAAATACTATGAATTTTGTTGTGAACAGGGACAAATGTTATCACTTTATGATTCATATTTACAAACAAAGCTGGCAAATTTCAAAAGTTGCTCTTTATTTCTACTCAGTACTAAGCTTGAAATTCAGAAAAGATGCTAGGCACACAATGCTGTCTGAATTATGGCCTCTCTGCTCAAATACTTAAGGTTCCCTAAGACATGATCAAAGCAAAGGTACCTTTACAATTAATAAAATCTTAATTTGGGCTATAATAATTTTAATATATAATTGGATTAATTCTTAAAAATACCAGAAACTCAAAAATGTTATATGCATTGCCAACTAATAATCCATTAAGTCTGTTACATCTAAGGCTTGAAAATTTAATTTTTCTAACAAACCCTGACCCTTTCTTGCAATTGTACTTAGAATTGTACTATTTGAACTGTCCACAACTTAAATTTTTCAGCAGGATTACTGGTTTCATTATCTTCCTAACTCTCTGCAACCAGATAACTACAATCTCAACCTCAGGGACAGTGGGCAAAGGAATCCTATTGACCAGTTATGTCACCTTGAGTAAAGAAACTATCTTCTCTGGGCCTCAGTCTTTAAAATGTAGATACTGGGTTAGATACTTTCTAGTTCCGAGACTTAATGATTCTAGATACATCCCTCTTACTGGTTTATAAAAATATTTTATATATTGAGCTTATTAACCACCTCTAGTGTTATTTTAAAAATAGTTTCCTTCTTTGTTTCGCCATCCAAAAGTTTTTGAATCTTAGGTACTCAAATCTACCAAACTTTGATTTTAAGGTTTCTGCCTGCTATTCATGCTTAAAAAGGCCTTCCCTGCACCAAAACTATATCTATCAATATTCTCATTTTTATATCATCTGTATTTTTTTTTTTTTATAAACATGACTGGTAAGGAGATCTGAACCCTTGACTTGGTGTTGTCAGCACCACGCTCTCCCAAGTGAGCAAACCAGCCATCCCTATATAGGGATATGAACCCGTGGCTTTGGTGTTATCAACACCACACTCTCCCAAGTGAGCCACGGGTCGGCCCTTATCTATATTATTAAATCTACCTGAATTTTCTGCTAAAACTTTAATGGTTTCACTTTTTACAATTAAATTTTAATCAATCTGAGAAAAAAATTTATGTTTTGAGGTAATAAGAATTTAATTTTCCCCCCAAATCATTTGGCCCGTGTGCCAAAATAAATGTTTAACAAAGACCATTTATTTACCAGCAATTTGAAATGTTATCTTTATCTCATTCCTTATTTCTCATACTTAAGGTTTACTCCAAAGCAGCACCACAGTGCAGTAGTTTTGAAATGTGACTATCCAGAACATCCATCATTGTTCTTCTTAAAAAAAAAAAAAAAGAAAAGAAAAGAAAAAAAGAAATCAAATAGTCTCTGAGGTTTATTTTGTTTAGCTATCCCTACCCCATCTCGCTGTCCCCAAATAAAAAACAGGCAGAATTTAGAGTTAAAAAGTATCAATACATATGCTATTTTTAGGAGAAATGATGTCTTCATCCCTGTGTCTCTCAGGTAAATTTTGTATTTTTCTAAGTTCAAAACAAGCAAGGACCATGTTTGCCTTACTCGTCTTTGATATCAGTACTTAGCACAGTAGGTGCTTGATAATTACTGTTGAATAAATGAATAAATGTAGGTCCTTCACAGTTTTTCTTCCTAGGCTCATTTATATATTTTTGTTCCTGTCATTTGTCCTTTCATCACCACTGAATTTTCTACCTGGCTGCCACTGGTAAATAGATAAGGTAATGATTTTTCACTCATTCATTCATCCATTCAACAAATATTTACAAATCAACTTCTGTGTGTCGGGCATTCTTCTAAGTGCTAGGGATATAGCTGTGAATAAAGTCCATGTCCTTGTGGAGCTCAAGTTGAGGAGAAAAGACAAAAAATAAACAAGAAAAATAAGATGTTTATAGGATGTGAGGAATGCCCTGAAGGCAGTAAGAAAAGCACTGAAAGGAAACAGCAGAGCAGAAAGGACAACCCCCTTTGGATACAATAGTCAGGGAAAAGCAGCCTAAAAGATGAGCAAGAACTAGCCAGTGAAGAGCTGGGGAAGGAATGTTCAGGCAGATGGAAAGACAATGCAAAGGCCCCAAAGCAGAAAAGGGCTTGGCCAGCCAGTTGCTGGGACTCTATAAACAATGACCAAGGCAGGGAGTCTGAAGTGGGAAGGGGGTGGATAAGGAGGACCCTGGAGGTCACGATAAAGAATTTGGACTTATTCAAGTATAATTTCTTAATAGCTATGAGAGTGGTTTTCTCTGCTTATTCTTAACTTTATTTGAAATACTTAATGCTCATGGTATCAGCTGCTGATTTCAAGCAGATAATGTTTTATACTAAGAAACGAGCCTCTCATTTAGACTGCTGACAACTTGTTTTGAATACAGTCATGACTGCACTTCTCAGCTTAGTTTGCCTCTGCAGTTCCCCATTAACCCCTCTCAGTGCTTCAGTGTGTCCTGAAAGCATTTTTTCCCTGCCTATCACACTTAGCTGTACTCCCACAACTGCTTATGAACTCTAGTACATTTTACATATTTCAGGTCTAAAGTAACTTTGCTATAGAAAATATGCCTCCAAAGATAGATGTATTCCAAAACCTTATCACTGAGCTCCCAAGAGGGGAGCTTGAGTCTTATATTCTCCATCATAAAATGGAAATAATAGCACCTAATGCACAGGATTGCTCAAGAAAAAAATACAGTCCAACTAAAGCACATAATTAATATTCAGTAAACGTTACCCATTCATTACCCATTATTGTCCACTCAAATGTTCATCCACTATATACAAGGTACACTTTGAATTACTAAACTCTGTTATCTTATGAATCTATAGTATTAGTATGGTGGTTAAGAATGTGGTCTCTGGAATCAAAATGACCTACCTAGATTCAAATCCTTCTGCCCCTCCCTAACTATGGGGCTTAGGGCAAGTTACTTAGCTCTCTGAGACTGAGCTTATATTCATTTAGCATAAGATAAAGTCAATTCATAAGGGTGAGATTAGCATGTAAAGAGGCTAGCATTGTGCCTGGCCAAAAGGCTCTCAATAAGTGGCAGTAGTGGTAGCAATAGCTGTGATGATGATCGATAATGACCAATGATGGTGATGACTAACATATTAACAGTAGTATAAAACCCTCTGATTTTAATATGGAAGAGGTGGCAGGATCAGAGGAATATAATTCTTGGAAAAAAAGAAAAAACAAAACACAACGGGATACGACAGATCTGTTCCAGATGGAAGCAGAGGAAATAAAAGTAGCTTGAACAAAAGTAGAGGGATACAAGAACCAAAAAGAAAGCTCAGCACAGACTCTTCTCAAAAATAAATTAGGAGAATCCTCAGAGAAGTGAACGATAGGTCAAGACTTCAAATCGTGAGGAGGACAAAGGGAATCTGACCTCATTTCCACCAACAAAAAAAGATGTAGCAATCAAGCAGTTTTACACTTCAAGCGGCTGGTTGTCTCATTGTTGGTCCACGACAGGACCCACAGTTATGCGGAAAGGCTGGGGTCCCATCACTTGTTCTCTTAGAGACGAAACACTTCACAGAGATTGGGAGAAGTACAAAGTTAACAAAAGATCAAAACAAGGAGCCCTCCGGTCAGGGAGCGCCCTGTGTCTTTTGAAGCACATTCGGATATAAAGGATCAGGAATGTCTATCCTGAAGGTATCTGCATTTTCTAGAGAGGTCTACAGCTCAAACAAAAACAAAAAACAGTGTAAAGAAGCAGTGAAGCAGATCACTAATACAGGACCAATTCTGGGATCTTTCTCTGAATTCCTTCTGGACCAGGGGAATTTTCCCAATGAGAAATCCCTTTCCCAGGTCTTTATTGGTTTTGTTTTTATTCTCTCTATTTGTAACACTGAATTCAGTCTAGCTTCAAAAACACCCTTTGCCTGAAGTTCTTACTTTAGATAACCTCAATTTGAAAAATACTACATACGTTTTACCCCCCTTCTATACATACAGTCGTCCTTTGGTATCTGTGGGGGATTGGTTCTGAGACCCCCTTGGATACCAGAATCTGTGGAGGCTGAAGTCCCTGATAAAAAATGGCGTAGTATTTGCATACAAGTATAACCTGTGCACATCCTCCCATATACTTCAAACCATCTCTAGGTTACTTATAATACCTAATACAATGAAAATGCTATGTAAGTAGTTGACAATGTGTTTTTTATCTGTGTTATCTATCATTGTTGTATGGTTATTTTTTATTGGTTTTTTTCTTTTCAAATATTTTCCATCTGCAGTTGGTTCAATCTGTGGATGCAGAACCCA